TTTTTTTAGGAAGATGATTATCAACTTTAAATATTCATCAATTTTCTGAAGTAGTTTATCATAGAAAACGAAATTCTACTTCCGAAAGTTGATCTACTGAAAGTAGATTATCGACGTTTCGTGGAAGTAATTATCCACTTTTTGGTGAAATATTAACATTTTTTCCAGTAGATTAAATGGGAATTTGTATCATAGAAAATGGGAAATATTTCTACTTTCTGAAAGTTGGTTATTCAAATGTACTGAAAATAGGGGAAAAGTTGTTATCTACTTTCCTGGAAAGTAGATTATCTACTTGGAAAGTAGATTATCGACGCCTGTGAAGTAAATTATCCACTCTTGGGGGAACATATTTCAAAGTAGATATCATAAAAGGAATTTCAGTTCACGAATATGGGAAATATTTGACCTTTGCAGTTGGTTTCAATCATAGGAAAAATGGAAATATGTATTTGAATATCATAGAAAATGAAATACTTGGTTAAAAATTGAAATTTGAGTTCTATTTGATTATCTACTGAAAGCAGATTATCGACGTTTCGGGAAGTAAATTATCTATTTTGTGGAAATAGTTAACATATTTTCCAAAGTAGATTATGGTAGAAACTGGGAAATTTGGTATCAAGAAAATGGGAAATATTTCACTTCTGGGAAAGTTATTATCTATTTATCAGAAAACTGGAATTTGTATCACAGAAAATGGGAACATCTACTTACGGAAAGCTGGTTATCTATTCTCTGAAAGTAGATTATCTTACTTTCGAAAGTAGATTATCGACGTTTCTGTGGGAAATTATCCGACTTTGTGGGAAATTTTCAACATAAAATTTTAGAAAACGGGAAATTTTCATGGAAATATCACTTTCAGAATCATCCACTTTTCATTGCAGGTTGGGGAACATTTACTTTCTGAAAGATTATCTATTTCATCATATTATCCGGGAAATTCAGACTAGAAAATGGGAACATTTCCTGAAAGTAGATTCTCCGTGAAGGAAATCACATATTTGACTTTCTACAATTTCCGGATTTCTGGAGCAGTAGATATTTGATTTTTGGTGAATGTAATTATCTGACTTTGGGAAATATTTTTATGAAAGCATTCTACTTTCTCTATGAGAAAACGGTAAAATATTTCTTCCTGAAAAAGATTTGGGAAATATAAATTGAAATTTCAAAGTTGGTTATATCATAGTGGGAAACATCTACTTCCGAAAGTTGGTTATTCATTTATCTTAAAACGGAAAATTTATCACAGAAAATGGGTAATATTTACTTCCGAAAGTTGGTTATTCTTCTCTAGAGTAGATAATCTACTTTTCGAAAGTAGATTATCGACTTCGTGGAAGTAGATTATCGACTTTTGCAACATACTATGTTAATATTTTCTCAAAAAGTTTCTACTATAAGTAGATAACTCAACTTTCCCAGAACCCATTTTCTATGATCAAAATTTCCCGTTTTCTATGATAAGTAGATAACCAACTTTCCCAGAAAGTAGATATTTCCCATTTTCAGTGATATAAATTTCCCGTTTTCTATGATAATCTACTTCGGAAAATTAGGTAACATTTCCCCCAAAAGTCGATAATCTACCTCCCCAAAAAGTCGATAATCTACTTTCCTGAAAAGTAGATAATCTACTTTTCGGGAAAGTAGATAACCAACTTTCCCGGAAAGTAGATATTTCCCATTTTCTATGATAAAAATTTCCAGTTTTCTATGATAAGTAGATAATCAACTTTCCCAGAAAGTAGATATTTCCCATTTTCTGTGATACAAATTTCCCGTTTTCTATGATAATCTACTTCGGAAAATTAGGTAACATTTCCCCCGAAAGTCGATAATCTACCTCCCCAAAAAGTCGATAATCTACTTTCCTGAAAAGTAGATAATCTACTTTTCGGGAAAGTAGATAACCAACTTTCCCAGAAAATAGATATTTTCCATTTTCTGTGATACAAATTTCCCGTTTTCTATGATAATCTACTTCGGAAAATTAGGTAAAATTTCCCCCAAAAGTCGATAATCTACCTCCCCAAAACGTCGATAATCTACTTTCCTGAAAAGTAGATAATCTACTTTTCGGGAAAGTAGATAACCAACTTTCCCGGAAAGTAGATATTTCCCATTTTCTATGATACAATTTTCCCGTTTTCTATGATAAGTAGATAACCAACTTTCCCAGAAAGTAGATATTTCCCATTTTCTGTGATACAAATTTCCTATTTTCTATGATAATCTACTTCGGAAAATTAGGTAATATTTCCCCAAAATTCGATAATCTACTTCCCCAAAAACTCGATAATCTACTTTCCTGGAAAGTAGATAATCTACTTTTCGGAAAAGTAGATAACCAACTTTCACAGAAAGTAGATATTTCCCATTTTCCATAATACAAATTTCCCGTTTTCTATGATAAGTAGATTACCAACTTTCCCGGAAAGTAGATATTTCCCATTTTCTATGATACAAATTTCCCGTTTTCTATGACAAGTAGAAAACCAACTTTCCCAGAAAATAGATATTTTCCATTTTCTGTGATACAAATTTCCCGTTTTCTATGATAATCTACTTCGGAAAATTAGGTAAAATTTCCCCCAAAAGTCGATAATCTACCTCCCCAAAACGTCGATAATCTACTTTACTGAAAAGTAGATAATCTACTTTTCGGGAAAGTAGATAACCAACTTTCCCGGAAAGTAGATATTTCCCATTTTCTATGATGAAAATTTCCCGTTTTCTATGAGAAGTAGATAACCAACTTTCCCAGAAAGTAGATATTTCCCATTTTCTGTGAAACAAATTTCCCGTTTTCTATGATAATCTACTTCGGAAATTTAGGTAACATTTCCCCCAAAAGTCGATAATCTACCTCCCCAAAAAGTCGATAATCTACTTTCCTGAAAAGTAGATAATTATCGAAAGTAGATAAATTAATATAGAAAACGGAAATTTGTATCACAGAAAATGGGAAATATCTACTTTCTGGGAAAGTTATTCATTTTCGGGATTTTGGGGATAATTTTTCAATTTTCGAAGTAGATTATCAAAAACGGAATTGAAAATGGGAATATCTATTTCGTGTTGGTTATCTACTTATAATCTACTTTCGGGAAAGTAGATAACCAACTTTCCCGGAAAGTAGATACCGCATTTCTATGATAAAAAATTTCGTTTTCTATGATAAGTAGATAACCAACTTTCCCAGAAAGTATATATTTCCCATTTTCAGATACAAATTTCCCGTTTCTATGATAATCTACTTCGGAAAATTAGGTAAAATTTCAAAAGTCGATAATCTACTCCTAAAACGTCGATAATCTACTTTCCTGAAAGTAGATATCTACTGAAAGTAGATAACCAACTTCGAAAGTAGATATTTCCCATTTTCTATGATGAAAATTTCCGTTTTCTATGATAAGTAGATAACCAACTTTCCCAGAAAGGATATTTCCCATTTTCTGTGATACAATTTCCTGTTTATGATAATCTACTTCGGAAAATTAGGTAATATTTCCCAAAAGTCGATAATCTCTCCGAAAGTCGATAATTTACTTTCCCGAAAATAGATAATCTACTTTTCAGGAAAGTAGATAACCATCTTCCCGGAAAGTAGATATTTCCATTTTCTGTAATACAAATTTCGTTTTCTATGATAAGTAGATAACGAAATTTCTATCAAGGTCATTCCAGGGGGTTAAGACCCAATGGGCCCTTATATGGTTGGTGGCATCCCCAGATGTAGGTAGCTGGGTGGGTAGTTATTTATGTGGGTGGGCTGGGTAGGTGGGTGGATAGGGTAGGTGGGTAGGTAGGTATGTGTGGGTAGGTATGTGGGTGGGTGGGTGGCAGGTAGGTAGGGTAAGAAAGGGGTGGGTGGGGTGATGGGTAGGAGGAAAGTGGGTGGTAGGGTGGGTGGGTGGGTATGTGGGTGGGGTGTGTGGTAGAGGAATGAGGGTGGGTGAGAGATACTGCTGAGGTGGCGCTCTTACCTGTCTGGGGGGTGAATCTACTTTTTAGGTGACATGTGGCAAGTGATACATTAGCAGCTTCCATATGTCGCAGGCACATTAATTGCTTAGGGACATGGTAAATACATTGTCACATGCTGCTAGTAGGCTGAATAAATAATGTATATAAATGGAGCACATACATAATATACATACAGGTAGGTAGGTGGTGGGTGGGTAGGTAGGCAGGTGGGTGGGTAGGTAGGTATTTGGGTGGGTAGGTAGGTGGGTGGGTGGAGGTAGGAATGAGGGTGGGTAGGTATGTGTGGGTGGGTGGTTAGGCAGGTAGGTGGTGGGGTAAGTATGGGTGGGTGGGTGGGTAGGTAGGTAGGTAGGTGGGTGGGTAGGTAGGCAGGTGGGTGGGTAGGTAGGTATTGGGTGGGTGGGTAGGTGGTGGGTGGGTGGGTAGGAATGAGGGTGGTGGGTAGGTATGTGGTGGGTGGTTAGGCAGGTAGGTGGGTGGGTAAGGTATGTGGGTGGGTGGGTAGGTAGGTAGGTAGGTGGGTGGTGGGTGGGTGGTGGGTGGGGTGGGTGGGTAGGTAGGAAGGTGGATGGGTGGGTGGTCAGAGGGGGTAGGTGGGTGGGTGGGGGGGTATGGAGGGTGGGTGGGTAGGTAGGTAGGTAGGTGGGTGGGGGGGGTAGGTAGGAATGAGGGTGGGTAGGTGGGTGGGTAGGTAGGTGGGCAGCGCACTGAGCCGAGAGAGCATAGTGCGACCAGATGAGAGAGGGTGATGCACCGTAAAAAGTAGTCTGTGACAACTCAAAACGACATTGTACCGAATCACCGGACGTTAAACGAATTTTTTGTCTTAAGTTTAGCGACGTAGTCCCAAAACAACGTTAAGTGGGATGACGTTAAGCGAGGATTTACTGTATTTCACTGGATTTAATGCTATTATTAGTGTTAATAGTGATTAATTATGGCATTGTATCCAAGTTAGACTCATCACTGTAACCATCAAGCTAAGGTAGTATGGTTGTTTTTCAACCCGTATTTTCGGGTAGATATGCATATCTTTTTTCATTTATTTTTTCTCCGTTACATGCATACACCATCCTACATACAAATTGTGAAAAAAGTAAAGGAAATAATTGTCCTAAGGGCAAACGTGTAAAGGGAATGTACATTTCTTGGCACACAGGAGTTAGCTGGCTCAGTGAGGGAGTGGGAGGAGAGTGTAGGAGATGGGGAGTGTTGATAGGGAATCAGCGTCCCAGCCAATATTACCAGGATTCACGCTGCTATAAGAGAGATATCCACCTATCAAAATACTTTACTGGGTAACTTGATAAAGTCTGTTGCCAGTCATACAGAAAGGTGCTTATATGACCATTTCAGGTAAAAACAAGAATAAGGCAAATCACAAAATGGAACATTGTTTTATTCATAAATATCAATATAATATACAAAATTACAACAAAATCTGCAACTACATTGCATAATAATTCAATTATCACGTTGGCAAATTGTCAAGGGATCTTAATGCCCTTGCAGTATCAGCATGTGAAAGCATCTGGAGCACTGGAGAAGCAAGGCCAATTTCCTCTAGATAGCTGGTTTTGCTTGGTATGAAAGTACAGTAAGCATAAACAAAACAATTAATTTTTGACTTATTGATTCACTTTGTATACTTGTATACTGTATATTGTACAATAAAAGCATACCTGTATCACCAACCAACTACTTGTATTTGATTGGCCAAAGAAAAAATGTATTTTACAATCATTGACGAGGTTACATCTGATAAATGTAAAGCATCAAATGAATATGATGCAGCTTGCCAATTGTAACCTAAACAAGGCCCTTTTGTACAAGTGTACTGTACTGTACTTGTAATATAAACATCAAAATGTAAAAAAGTTAATTATCGTCGAGTGTCCATAAAGTAAAGTTCTCGTTTGTTAATACCTGTTTGAAATACTTCTTTTACAAACCAGCAGTTTGCCTGTAAAAAACATCATGATTTTTTAAGTAAGATGGAATATATCTGAAAACTTTAACTCTATGTAATAACAGTATGTTTCTTATACTTCACTGGTCTAATAAAAAAAATATTTGTTCATATTATAAAGCTTGTTATTATGCCAGCAATAGACACACAAGATATAGAATTAACAGTATTGGTCAAAGATATAAGTTCCCAAGATTAAACTGCATCAATTAAGTGTATCTTGTAGAGTGGCAAGAAAAACAATGAACATAAAACTACTTAGTATATACTGTATATATATATATATATATATATATATATATATATATATATATATATACATACACAAAACACATTCCACTCAGCACACTCATTACTCACCCATAAAATGGCACAACTAGTCTGTACACTCTCATACAACACAGCTTACATAGAAAAGTACAAGGTCATGCTCAAAACTGTCAAGATATTCCTAAATTATGAAATGCATGACTTAAGTACTACCAGTACAACAGCTTACTGCCACTGCCCTATTTGGAGGAAGTGGTGGTCAAGGTTCCAATGTTATTACAGTAAATATCTTTTTTGTCTATTTGAAATCTGATTAACCCAAATTTTCTGTTGCTGATAAATTAGATGATTCTGACAATTATCTGCTCTACATCATGTAATTTTTCTTTTCTAAATATGAGATAAGAAAAATTTATGCTCTTAGCAGCAAGTGGCAGAGGTCTTAATTCATTCAACTGAATAATTTTGTAGTTCTTGCTTGATGTGATACGATTGTAAACCTCACTTTGATTTCTAACTAAAATTTATTCTTATAGGTATTGACCTTCCTATTGTTATACTATATACCTGTACTATATTGTACAGGCTGTTGTTCAGTGAATAAAATCATATTTTGTATTCTGTGTTACTGCAATTCAATTGGATTGTCATATTTAATTACAAAAGTTTAAATAATGCTTCCAACATTACATTTTCCACTAATGAGCATTATGGCTTCAAAATATACCTTTCTTGGAACGTTATAGAGTAGCCACTGCACTTAGTGTTCTTTTTACCCCAATTACTATTACTCCCATTATACTTCTGGGAAAAATCAAATGACACATGCCTTCCCATTTAACATGTATCTCAAAATTATTTGTTTCAACAAAAGAATTCTTAAACATGGCAAAAATTTCAGCCTTCTAGTACCTTAAATTATCTGTACTTACTTTATTTACAAAATGTCAATCCACCATGTAATTTGAAGCTACACCATATCCAACTCTCACAATCTGTACAACTGATCATCCTCATGTTCACCACTGCTCTCTTCCTTTCACTGATAGGTGCTTTAGCCTTGTAACTTATCATCCCAATAGAACAGAAACACAAGAAATAGAGGTTGTTCTTCTTAACTTCATACCACAGGTTGATTCACGGTTGAACAACAAGGCACCAGCTATTCATTCATATTGTGAAAATTAGGATGTGCAGACCTTTGTGATGGAAATACACACAACAAAAAAACAATAAACTATATTTTGGAGTGAATCAGAATGCAATAGCTCACATTGCCTTTATGTTACTTGATATCAGACTTGAAACCCACACAACTAGGCTGAAGTCTTGAAGAATATTATATGTATCTTGAAAAGCTACATCCTATATCTAAATAGGAAGGCCTTCTTAAACCAGGAATTATAAAATCAGGAAAACAATGATATTAGATATGTATAGCATTGTAAAAGATATATATCATGTACCTTACAAAAATGTCAAGTGAAACCATAGAAATACTGTCATTAATGGATATGAGAAACTTATTAAAAGTACTGCACTAAATTTATGAAAATAGTTTGGGTTGTCACCCATATTTCAGTAAAATCTCAAAGCATTCATGAAAAAGGGAACAAAGCTAATTGTGGTATCAAAGAAATGAGATGAAACTTTTTTAAAATGGCTTCAGTGATATATGAAATGAATGTTGACACTAACTGCAACCTACCTACTCAATGAAAGTGAAAAATGCATTCCCATGTGACTTTACACAAAACAAAATATAGTGAAATACTGGAATTGCACAGACTCCATAGTTTTACTTGCCCTGACACAATGTGTAAGAACACTTTCATGTAAGGCACACATTCAGTATCACCAGTAACTAACTGTTAAATCCCACTGTTAATATCAAGGTAACTGTTTCTCACTCACAATTACTTCTCTGAACAAAACCACCAACCACTTGCATCATACTGTACTTAGCTAATATCTACCAGTATTTGCATACACTCTACTATTTCCATTTCCTTGATTTAAGTTGTTGGTATTTGTGTAGCCATTATCCTTAATATGCCCATTACCACGAACATTTCCATTGCCATGACCATTTCCACTGCCATAACCATTAGCTCCTGAAGGACGAGATGGTGGCGGTGGAGCATGCCTAGTGTGTGTCCTGATGGGCGGAGGCAGTTCCTTGTTCAGAGAGCTGGGCCAAGTGTATACCATGTCTCCACGCTTTGAACCTTTCCTGTTAAAAAATATTTAATATCAACTAGGAATGGAGAAAATGGATTCAGTATAACAGTTATAGTTACTGACTACATTAAAATGTATAAAATACTGGACAGCTTTTGACGGTGGATCATCATCTGTTGCTTCAGGATCTTTGATTGTTTGGTGTCCGTGTGATGTGAGATGGTTGGTGGAACCATTTCAGACTCTGTCCCTTTGCAGTTTGGAGTCCTACAGGGATCAGTTTTGAGACCAATTCTGATTTAGCATGTCTAGGATAACCTCTAATGATATTTTGAGGAAAATAAAAATTTTTACCCTCAAAATTAATTTTCCTCTAAATCTCAGTGCTGTATAGGTACAGTATAGTCTGGATTTACGCGGTCAATTGAACCTGTGGAGGTCCGCGTAAAACCAGAAACGTGTAAATGAAATAACAGAACATATGGGATAAATTGAAATAGAGACTGGGCCGACCCCCAAACTCCACTTTTTCCGACACAATACGTATGTTGTAGTAAAAATAACATCTTAATTTTATGATGGTATGCACACACAATTAATAATCAAGAGAAATATCAATAATATTAGGTTTTTTAACACTTACGTTAGTAGAAGAGATGGGTTGGCACACGTGGATGGCGGCTGGTTCTGAGGCAGAGGGCAGATTAGTTGCCCTCCGGTGAATCACTTTCACTACTCGCAGAGGTTTGCAGGGCCTCCCAGACAAACCCCTCAAAGTCCATATCCTCACTATCACTGACTTGGGCTGGCTGTGGTTGTGGTGGGTTGCGGGCGAGGAAGTCCTCAATACAGTTCTACGTTGACGACTAGCATTGATGTTGTCGAGATAAATCTGGATATACGGGTCCATAACTTTCGACAGAAGGTTACAGTGGTCCCTCGGTTAACAAGCGCTTCGGTTAACGAGTTACCTCCCATAAGATTCTTAACTTCGGTTAACAAGCACTCCCTCGGTTAACGAGTTTCTTACAAGCCGACCTCAACAAGTTTTGGCTTGCACTTGGAGGTCAACCAGCTTTAGTATTAGTCCGCCAATACATTAATCGGTTCTTGGGCTTAAATTTCTTACTATTTTAGTAAATATCAAGAAGTTTATACTATTCAATAATTTTAAAAGTTCAATATTAAATTTTTTAGTCATTTTAACAATTATTGAACATAATTGAAGGTAAAGTGAATAGTTTAATGCACGGCATCCAGCCTCTTAACACAGCAAACAAGCGTTAGTCTCTCTCTGTTTTCACTGGAGGTAACATCTTGCTTGAGACTCTCTTCAACTAAACGCTTTTTTCTGTGTTTCCAAGCAAATTATTGGTCATTTTGAAATTTATTTTACATATTGACAATATATAGCGCAGTGCAGTGTTATTTTAAAGAAAATATTCTTTATTTACAACAAGTTTAACTTTAAAAAACACGTGTTGACATTGTTTGAATCCAGCATGAGGCCTAAGAGATCAAGAAAAGCTATTTCAATCCAAACCAAGCAGGAAATCATAAAAAAAACATGAACAAGGCATTAGAACAAATGTGCTTAGCAAAGAATATGGCATGTTGACATCAACTGTGTCGACAATTCTTGCACAGAAAGACAAATTTAAAGAAGTGAAAGTGAGAGACAAATCTACAAGAGTGTTTAAAAGTAGATCCCTAATTGCAGAAACTGAGAGGTTATTTCTCATCTGCATTAGGAAAAAACAGATGAAAGGTGATTCAGTTTCTACTGAATTCGTTTGTGAAAGAGCCAGGGAGATTTACGAACATTTAAAGACAGATCAACCTGGTTCTTCAGGCACAGAATTTGAAGATTTTCGGGCCAGCAAAGGCTGGTTCGAAAAATTTAAGAAAAGAAGTGACATTTTCAGTGTTGTTAGGCATGGTGAAGCTGCTAGTGCTGATAAGGAAGGGGCAGCAAAGTTTTTAGTTGAATTTAAAGAACTGATGGAAGAAGAAAATTATCTTCCACAGCAAGTGTTCAATGTGGACGAAACTGGGCTGTTCTGGAAAAAGATGCCCAAAAGAACATTCATCACCAGAGATGAAGCCTCTTTACCTGGGCATAAACCCATGAAAGACCGTCTCACTCTATTCCTTGGTGCCAATGCTTCAGGGGATTTCCGACTGAAGCCTATGCTTGTCTACCACCCTGAAAACCCCAGGGTGTTTATTGGAAGTCCAACCGTAAGGCATGGGTGACAAGACAGCTCTTTAATGAATGGGCTGTTGATGTGTTTTGCCCTTCTGTCAAGAGCCACCTAACCACCTATAAACTCCCTTTAGAGGCTCTTCTCCTCATGGATAATGCTCCTGGTCATGACCCTGACCTTGCCAGAAATTTGGAGTATCATTTTGACTTTGTGAAAGTGTTGTTTTTGCCTCCAAACACTTCATCAATCATACAGCCAATGGACCAGAATGTGATCAGCAACTTCAAGAAGTTGTACATGAAGAAAATATTTAGGAGGTGTCATCAGGCAACTTCCAATGATCTTAAACTAACACTGAAACAGTTCTGGAAGACACAATTCAACATCCTGGAGGCTGTAAAATTGATTGTGTCATCATGGCAAGAAGTCTCCACTAGATCCCTCAATTCTTCATGGAAAGCACTGTGGCCATCAGTAGTCCATGATTTTGAGGGATTTGAGGAAGAAACAGAGTTGGACCAGGAGATTGTGTCCATTGGTCAGTCATTGGGCCTTGAAGTGGAGGAGGAGGATGTGGAAGAGCTTGTGATGTCTCATGAGGAGGAACTTACTCCTGATGACTTGAAGCAACTGGATGAGATGTTACAGGTAGAGGCTGAAAGTGGTGAGGAGGAAATTGAAAGTGATGACCATATGTCAGCTAAACAGTTGAAAGATGTGATTTACTACTGGGAGAAGTTCAGGGAACTGGCTTCAAAGCACCCAGATGTGGAAAAAACTGAACTAACTTTGTATCATGTTGAGGACTCAGTGGTCTCCTTCTTTAAACATAAGTTAATGGTGAGGAGGAGAGATGCCCCACAGACCACAATTGACACTTTCTTCAGTAAAAGGCAGAGGGAACAAGATGCTATCCCTCAGCCTTCCACTTCAAGGAGAGAGGATGTTCATGGTGGAGAATCTGTCAGTCCAGAGGTTCCTGACATTTTCATGGAAAGTGACTCACCTTCCAAGAAGCAGTAAAATGCTTCTCCTCCACCTCCACTTCCTTCTCTTCTCCCTTCTCCTCTTCCACCTCCCACTTCAAATTCACATCATCATCCAGGAGCCTTCTACATACACACCTCAAAGTAAGTGAACTTTTCTACCTTTTTTGTTGAATTTAGGCAATTTTCGGTGAGCTGGAACCAATTACCGAAAAACCCATTGAAACAATGGTTTCGGTTAACGAGATTTTCGGTTAACGAGCAACCTGCTGGGTTAACCGAGGGACCACTGTATTAGACACTTCATACCGATGCTTGACTGTGTCTTTGTCAAGGATGAGCTTAATTTTCTCCCCCAACTCGATGATTTCCTTCACATTTTCATGGCTTGGTCCAGGTTCAAGGTTTTTCTGGGGTGGTGGGGGTCCAGCGGAGGCCATTATGAGGGGAATAGCGTGCACAAGAGAGAACTGTATACGCGAAGAACTGAGAACAATGAGACAGTCCCGGCTAGGTCAGCGACTTCTACTCTCTCTGGTGGCAGGGCACGTCATATTACATTAGACCAATCACAGCTAGCGGCGGAGGGAATGCGTGGGTAATAAGGATGCGTGGCCCAATCACAGTCCAATACGTCATATGATGTCAGCGATAACGTAAGAGCGACCTAATGCGCACCACTCACCGCGCCGCTTCCCGCGTAAGGTCAAGAATGGACCGTGTGAGAAAAAAATGGCGCGGCGGTCTGGACCTCTCCAGTCGCTCGCCACGTAAATGACCAAATTTACCGCGTAATTAAAACATTTCATTCTGGCAAGAGCACCGCGTAAATGACCAAACATGTAAACAAAAACCGCGTAAATCCAGACTATACTGTACTCCTCAATGTGCAGATTAAGGCGCTGTGTTCATAAACTTGAAATTCTGGTAATTAAGTGTTCTAACAGTCACTGAATTTTCACATTTTTATTAATTAATTTTCTTGATTGTGTTAAATTTTTTATTAAAATCTCAGTATTGGTTGTCCTCAACGCACATACTAACATGTTCGGAAGTAAGGGTTAACTTTACACCTTAGCTGACCACTGATTAATTGCCTGGCTTGTATGTTTCAGGAGATGGGGGAAGGATGAACCCAGCGAAGTTGCTGGTTAGGAATTTTGAAGGTTCCAGTCTGTGTGGATTATAAATGGACTGGACTGTATAATCTAGGACCTCTGCTCTAAAATGTAGAAAAACCCTGAATCAAGTCATCCTCAGGTCCCAAGCTTCCCAGATAAGGATCCCATATATGTACTTAATAAACCCAAATACAGGTATAATGTTTCTGCTTCTATCTCATTTAACAAAAGAAAATATTGTGTATTTACCTAAATGCTGCAAAAGATCCAACATTGCTCTCCTCGACAGTCACCATTCGAGATTTGCTACCAAGCATGCACTGGAGACTTGACCCTACAACCACTCGGAGGTCTGAGCGATTGAGACTGTTGGTGGAAAATGAATACAGGTGAAAATGGGATGTTTATAACAAAAGAGCATTAGTTTAATCAGTGATCATAAATCTTTAAAATCTTTTGTACACATTATGTCTATTAATATAAAAAGTGTTAAATTTCTATTTCAACAAGAAACAGATTTGAAAGGTTTGAAACTTGTTATTATCTAATCTCTATTTATATCCAAACCACCTTGGATTATTTTAAGAAGGGTACAGTAAATTAAAACATCGAGTCACAATCATAAACCTAGAAAAGTTTGCTGAAGAAAGTTACTCACAGCTGATACTGCCGGAGCAATAGTCCTGTTAGTTCTCCAACACGGTTGGCATTTGCTTGTGATGACAAAGAAATCACTAGGTCATTGCCACCTCTCAAATGGATGATTACTAATTGGTCTTGACCTGGACTGACACTTACTCCACTCACCTGGGTTAAAATAAACCATTTACATAAAAATTAGAATTAAATATCATGAACAGGAAAGCTAAAAAATTATAAGAGTTATCAGTAACTCATGAACAATTTCCTACAGTCAAGATATAAAGAATTAAGAAAAAAATATAAGATCACGGCATGATGCAACACCACAGAGGCAATCAGCTGGTTGATATGTAAACAAAGCTGCTGGTAATACGACGTACACACCTCAAAGTAAGTTAAAATACAGTATTGTATTGTTTTTTATTTATTATTGTACAGTATACTGTACAGTACAGTATACAGTACTGTATTTAGTATATATTTAATGTTTTGTTAATTCTATTACCGGTATACTGTACATTATTTTGTATGTACCTTTTCTGTGAGTTGGAACGAATTACCCAATATACCATTGAAATAATAGATTCATTTAACAAAATTTTCGTTTAACGAACGACTCTGTGGAACGAATTGTGTTCGTTAACCAAAGGACCACTCTGTGTGTGTATGTGTGTGTGTGTGTGTGTGTGTGTGTGTGTGTGCAGTCATCCGTTGGTTATCGAGGTTTTCGTTATCACACCTCCATCAAAATCTGCACACCTGCTGTTATAGCGCATTTTTCAAGCCGAGAATTTCGTTATCACGCAGTTGCCTCCAGGTGTTTTTACCCATTTGCTTCACCTACATCTATTGAGGATAAAATCTTTCACCTACAAATTGAGAATAACACATTTGCTGTAATCAGACATATCTAAGTTGCCTCAACAATTGCAACCCCAGTTGCAATTTCGAATTCTGTGTCATTACTAAGGAATAACGAAGTCTCGGGTGCACTCTAAGATTGAGAGAAAACGGAGGACTCGGGTGTCCTGAAGCAATGAGAAAACGGACTCCTCATTGTTACATGTTTTGTGGAGTACAGTATTGAGCGTACCCTTTTCATCACTTTGTAATAAACCTAGCCATACCTATGTGTTTTTCTAATACTTACCATAATCTTATCTATATATTTAATGGGTCTAAATCAGTGGTGTCAAACCTTTCGAGGGCCAATTCTTATTATAGTTACCCTCTTCAGGGTCAACACAAGTGCTATATCACATATTTGCAGGATTGAAGTTTACAGATTCACACATTGCCTTACCTGGCTTACCAGGAATACCTCATTTGGGTTTGTCTGATCTTAAGTACCCAGTATGTAAAATTCATTTTACTAAATAAACATGAATATATCTATTTCTTTCATAATTTCACGGGATGATAAATTTTACCGTCACCCCGCGGGCCATACTCGACCATCCCAAGGACCATATTTGGCCCGCGGGCCATGAGTTTAACAGCCCTGGTCTAAATGGTCGTAAAATGGGAAAATTAGGGTTGGGTCTTGGGTGCCTGGAACCAATTAGAATAAATCCCATAGGTTCTGTACTTTCGTTATCGAGTTTTTCGTTATCACGCACTCAGTGTGGTCCCAATTAGGCCTGATAACCAAGGGATGACTGTATATATAATCTGTCCTTGAAGTACCAGTATCTACCAAATTTCACTAAAATATTTCTTCCTAATTACTACACACAATCCCTAACCTTAGGAAGTTTGGCTGAACAGACTATTGAATAAAAGAAGAGCATTCCTACAGTACTCAACATCAATGCTTTCCTGTCATTTTCCACACTTGCAGGGGTTAGCTGCAATTACCAGATGGCAGCTCTCTTTGATACTGTACATGATTTCTTGCAGTCTCTTAACCCTTAATGTCATTTCTTACAACCTTTCCCCATCTCATTCTCGGCCTGCCCCTGGCTCTCCCCCCATTCACATTTTGGCTCAGGCAGCTCTTGACCATCTCAGCCTGCCTCTACACAAAACTTCACCAATACTTTCCATACCCAGCCACCCTCTTAGCTCTGAAAAGGACCTCCTGTCTTTCGTGCCACATTACACATCCACCCTCACCATTTTCGTTCAATACAAATCAACTGAACTTATTCCTCTGTAGGCACAAGTTCAATCAAACAACAGTCCTCCTTGGGCTGTTACAGAGTTTAACACCCTACAGATACAGTAAAGTCCTTGCATTTGACCCAAATATCAACTACAGTACTTGAATTATTACACATATACAAGGGGGCTCCCGATTTACAAATGCCCGCTGATATGAACGGGATTAAACTTTAAATTTACATATTTAATTTACCTGATGACTTATTTTTTTACTTCCATTTACTATATTTTGTCATTCTATTTCTTTTGTTTTCTTAAATTAAGTGATTTTAGATTTTTATAAGGACTTAGGATATAGTAGTGGAATTTTAAACATTGTTCTGTAAGTACAGTATGCACATAGCATGTGTTCCGACTTACGTAAAAATCCGACTAAAGAACGTCCTCAGGAACAGAACCCGTTCGTAACCCGGGGACCCCGTGTATTGAATTTGCATCCATGCTAGTTAATTTCCTCCCCCTCAGCACTAATATTAACACATAAATCATGGACTTCTCACTCTTCAAAGCTAATTATGTTATTATACCTTATGAGAACCTCATTTATGTACCTGGACCTCTTAAATAAAGGACTGGATCTATCTAACAGTACTCATGTTATCATCATCTAATACTACACTTATCTTAAGGGGTCTTCTGTGTTAAATTCTTTAAATACATCTTATTACATTGTACATAACCCACATAAAAATCTATTCTCTCGGCACACCCCGCCCACCATTAACTTTTTTCCAACGTCTTACTTGCATATTTACAAAGTGCAGTTCTGCTTATCAAATACATCTTAGCATTATACACTAAAACTTCCAAACTAAATTAATAACATATATTCAGTACATTCACAATATAAACATCTTAAGTAATTGGTAAGCAGAGTATAAAATTCATTAAGGCAAAGACAACACAACTCAGCTTCTATCAATAAGGAAATATAGTTCACCTACTTCTAAAATGGGAATGGGAGATCTAAGAGGCTTGAAGGTCTTGCTGTGTAACTTGTATATCTGTTTGTCTGTCAGCATTATTGCACGCTCGGCCATCTTGTCTTTCTTGTTGATCTTCCGCACCAAACTAGAGAACAACACCTGCAAAAGTCAACATTGTTTAAATAATCTTAAAACTTATTTCTCATGATATTGAAAATTACTAAATATACTTTTAATTAGCCCCATTAAAAGCCAGCAGATTTTTGCTAGTGTTGTGCATAAATACAGTACAGTACTTGTTTATGTACTGTATGTACAGATGTGTACAGTATACTAAACAGTGTACAGTATTTTTAAAGCTGGTTATTGAGACACCGTTGAGACACTCTTAAGGGGAATCCATGTATGGTGCACACTAACTCTGTTACCAATGTACCTGATCCATGAGTGACAATTTATTATATAGTTCTCTCAATTCTTTCCTTGAAAATGATCCTATTTCATTTTCTATTCACATCATCAACTGATTCTCATATCTGAATGATCAATATACTGTAGTTCCAAAACCTCAGCAAGAAACTGTTTCTGCCATGCATGAGTGTAACCAAATGGAAGAGTTTTAATGGAATTTTCCAACCTTCAACACAGATACTACATTAAACTATGCATTATGGATAACATTCTCATTCTAATTATACTACAAGAATGCAACTCCAGAAATTGTACAGCAACCTGGGTCAGTTGTTGTAATGCCAACTTCCATATCTCTGTGATAAGCCTCCAGTGTTTATTTCATATTAACTGCCCCAATAAACCTTCACATAGAAATTAAATTTTTATCAAGTCTTTGTATGGTACCACACACCCTCACAATCTCCTTTTTATAAAACATAATTTTCACCTCCAAATCCCATCCCTCTTGTATATTAACTTTACTGACTCATCGAAGTTATGGTTACACTCACCTCCCTGAATCCATCTTTGTTCCTCATGTTTTTGACAGCAGACTGGAAGGTTGAAGCTTCAGGGTTCTCTTTTGTGGTGGCCAAGTAGTTGCCTTCCCAGCTCTCCCGAACACCCCAGTCTATTCGCTTTCCCATCAGTGCATCTCCAGCAATAACCTGTCAAATACCACAATCATGTTAGTATATTAGTGTCATAAATAACAGCAATTTGATTTAAATGCATTTTGATACTGCCTGAAAATCTGATATACTTCCACTACTAAAGTTTTGTCTTTATTTACAAGAGGTGTCTGACCACAGTATCCATGATTTTTGCTCTCAAAAATGGAGAATCACCTCATCCAGGCTTCCTGGTGAAGTCATAACAAATGATCCATTTCAATACATTCTTTATTACTTTAGGTTAATTAATTCATTCACCAATGGCATATGGGAAAGGAAAAATATACTGTACATAGTTTGTTTCTTCATAAGGTAATTAAAAAAATTAATGTATTACTGTACCTTGATTCGAAGTTGAGGCCAATCTGTCTTGGGGACATTGCAGAGGGTCATGTGAGCTCTCCATCGGTTGTGTATGTTCTGGAAATCTGACACCATTGAGCGCAACACCAGGGGCGGGGCTGGCCAACGCAAATGTTTTCCATAGTCCTGCATTTGTTTCACATTCCTGATGGAAATTTTTTTTAGTATTATTTTCTAAGCAACTTTTTGCCTCGACAATATTCATAAGATTTATTATCCCATATCAACTGCATTTGTATTAGTACTTCTGAATACTGTTCCTATTTACAAATATTAATATTCTATTAGTACAACAGAAAATGTTTTGTGAATCAGATATAAAATGCTAAAAGAAAATAATAGAAAAGAAATTCAGCAAGTACAGCTGTACAGTAATGTGATTTTCAACAAAATCTAATTTTTGGGCCAAAACTATCAAAAAGGTAAGCCTTACCCCTTGGTAATTTTTCGCCCAAAATATACTTTTTTCACAGAATTGAAATTTAAGGGGTTTAACTAATTAAGTAATTACAGAATAACAATTTAACACCAAAAGCGCACTTTGGAAACCCATAGTTGGCGAGTAGTTAGCATTGAAAAATATACTGTAATTAAATTATCCAGGGGTCATTACAGACACTAATTACCCCGCAATCGAATTGTGGACCATATATTCGAAATAAGCATGCTCTGGAGTACTTATAATGTGATTTTTAACAAAATCTAATATTTGGGCCAAAACTGTCGAAAAAGTAAGCCTTATACCTTGGTAATTTTTCACCCAAAATATACTTTTTTCACAGAATTGAAATTTAAGGGGTTTAACTAATTAAGTACTTACACAATAACACATTAACACCAAAATCGTACTTTGGAAACCCACAGTTGGTGAGTAATCAGCATTGAAACATATAATTAAATTATCCAAGGGTCATTACAGACACTAATTACCCCGCAGTCGAATTGTGGACCATATATTCGAAATCAGCATGCTCTGGAGTAATTATTCAGTACAAGGATTTCTTGAAATGGTAAACATCTCATTACTACTGTTAACTAAGAATAATCTCAGGTAATAGTACAAGGCATAAAATTAACATTATACAGTACTTATACAGTACTGTACTTATATAAGAAATAAAATCAACAAATACAATATACAAGATTAAAATACTTTATGATATACATCTTGTATATCAGCCACCATGGATACATTACAATAGTTACACCAAAACTGATGCAACTGGGAATAAAAGGCTACTATATTACTGTAGCTGTCAATATTTATATTAACGGTAAATACAAAAATCAAGTTGAAAATATGAAATTTAGTTTTACGCTAGGTTCAAGTTTTCTAAAATACAGTATTATGCCTGAGTAAAAAATTCTAAATCTATTTCACACTTTGACATTGGATTAGAAGGAATAAACACTACATTTTTAAAGAGAAATGTTGGTCCTACAATAATTACAGTACTAAATAATATTAATCAACAAGTTGTAAGGTTGTATGCCACATGGACATCACTGTACTATACATCATATGACTTTGTGTCCCATACTAGAGGCATGTGTGTGTCACAAGGTATATTGGGGGAAAAAGAGAAAGAGCTGAAACATCATCAGAAATCAACACTACTCCTAAAATAATAATGTGTGAACACTTGGGATGAAGTAGATGACAAAGCCTTACTCAGGGTGCCGGATCTCGGACTCTGGGTCTGGTAGGCCACGTCGAGCTCTGTTAGTTTTCGGAATCAAGATATAGCTTGTATATGTGAAGTCTACAGATGCAAATGTCACCTCAAATACTTAGCATTAAAATTCTGGTTACTAATATTTCATCAATCAAAACACCTAGCAGCACTAACCCTTAAAAGACACTACAAGAATATGCACTCATCCTCACTTCTGACTGAAATAAAATAAATCAAGACTCCCATACTGCTTAAATGACCAAACACTTCTCACTTTACTCAGTTGATTGATTCATTCACGGATTCATTCATCCATTCAAATAGAGCGTATACTTCTTTTCTTTTTTCCTGTTGTGCATACTACCTCACCAGGAGCAACACAGTACTGTACATTATTTAGTCCTTAAGCATTGGAAACTAAAATTACATTGAAAGTACAAGTCTTATCCTACCTTACTATACTCCTGTGAAAGATGCAAAATGATGTGTGTCTTTGAAGTCACAAACAGGAGTCGGATAATCAGAAAACTTGATTGGTAAATACTGTATATAGAAATTCAAGAGATGACCTTAGTATCTTAAGCCATTCCATACAGACAAAGTGGACAATTAGATAAAGGAACAAGGTTAATATTATTTGAATATACACTCCTACCCATCATACACATACAGTATATTAAAAATTATTTGTCTGTAAGGCATTGCTTGTTTGAAGAAAATTGTGTTTCTTAACCTAGCAAAGCCACACAATTCTCACCTGAATACTCTGTTCAGTTCCAACATGTATGATCGCATCTTGTAGAGCCTGTAGTGGCGCAGGATGGTCAGGGCAGCACACATGCGTCTGTAGTGCATTCGACACGTAGCTCCTCGCCACATTTTTTGTAAGAAGATCACAATTCCTGGGATCAGCTTTGCTCTTCCCTACAAAATTGAGACATAATCATATAATACAGTACCTCTTTTCCATTCTTTCAAATAAACACACTCTTTCCCTTCATTTACTGTTAGTCAATCATTAGTACCACGGTTCAGATATTTTTTGCTATGTGTATATTAACAGCACACAAAAGAGTTTTACTCTGGTACCTGTTCCAAAGCAAAGAGTGTCTGTGGAGAGCGGATGAAGAGTTTGGTGTTGCCGTACTTAACATCATTGGTAAAGCCCTGTTCCTCCACCAGGATCTTGGTCCCCTCTCTGTCACTACCACCATGGAAGTTAGGCCAAGTATACTGAGAGATCATCTTATATCTGAAAAAATAAGAGTGGCGTATAAGAAGTCTATCCATACATCTCATTGCCACTAAAAAAAATCTAAGGAAATTAAGAGATTAACAAAAAATTTCTCATCATCTTTCATCTTTTGTGCATATAATTTTATTTAAAGAGAGAGAATTTATAGAATCCTCACATGTATTTTTACTTTCCTCATACATCATTCATACTAAAATGTAAAAGGCTCAACAAAATACAAATAATCCTCATTGAATCACTAACCTACAGTACAGCCCCCCCCCCAAATTCGTGGGGCTTAGGTTCTCAAAATGGCAGCGAATCGCCAAATCCACGAATAACATTTGCTTTTCCGGGGGGGGTTTACATTTTTACTTGTGTAAAAAGAAATGTGTATTCCCTTTATATGTTTGCCCTTAGGACAATTATTTCTTTTACCTGTACTCTGTACTGTATATACAGTATATGTGTGTGTGTGTAGGCACACACACACACAAAATACATACAAATAAATAACAATGGGAAAAACCTCTCACAAATAATCAGAAAGAAATGTATATTAATAATGTTGAGTCTACCCTCAAGTCTACTCCGTGCTTTATTAATAATAAAACACGAAGTAGACTTGAGGGTAGACTCAACATTATTAATATACATTTCTTTCTGATTATTTGTGAGAGGATTTTCCCATTGTTATTTATTTGTATGTATTTTGTGTGTGTGTGTCTATACACATACACATACAGCGATATCCCCGTTAGCCGGAACAATTGGTACAGAACACTTCCGGGAATTAGAGATTTCCGGATAACGAGACGATTCTTTCAAAGCCGGAAAAAATCTCTCATCCCCGGAAATTTCAGGGTAACGGAAAATTTTTCTCGGAATTTCCAGAAAAATGCACCTGATTTTCATATCTCAAACCCGGAAAAAAAATCCCTCATCCCCGGAATTTTCCGTAAAATTCCGACTTTGGGAACAATTTTCAGAGAAAAATCCAATTCTGGCCATCGGAGAGTTCTGGGTTTGAGGGATTCCAGCTAATGGAAATATTACTGTTTGTACAATACAGGTAAAGGAAATTACTGTCTCAAGAATGAATGGTCCCCTGTCCCAGCCGCAAAAATGCATCTTGGGTACATCCAGCGTGCTTCCATGAATAACAGAGGACAGCGAAATAAAAATCCGTGAATTATCCGGGCGTACTGTCTGTGACCTCAAAACCATCTGTAGATATTGACAACATGAACTCCTCTACTCTTAAAAGTAGTATAGATCAACTGAAATTTGCCCCATGTTTATATTTCAAAAAGTTTACATAGAACTACAAGAAATTAAAACTCTCTAGTTTGCTTTTCTCTCAAAATTATATGACCTTGCTTCCCATGTTCACAGGACTGGTATGACATTTACAAATTTACCAAAGACTTGCTTTTGTGCAACAGTTAATTTCACTAAAAGCTATAACCATTGCAACCCTGGGATAAATAAGTGAACCACCTTACCTTCTTAGAAACCGGTCATAACTTTGTCTGTATGCAAATCCGGCTCTTCTCACTCGCAAGTTCTCCACCAAACCAAGGTAGTTTACCTGTCAAAGGAAAATTATAAATGTTACTTTTGCCAATCAAACAATATCAAGAGACCTTTTCCTGCAATATAAATGGCTAGCATATACAGTACAGAACTATCCCCATATACCACCAATTCAACACATTTTATGAAACCCTCCATAAATAACAATACCTGTAATTCCTTTTATCCATATTACATATTTATTCACTGTCTCTCTGATATCATAAGATCACTTCTATATATAGTCTCAGTCACTCCACACAGACACACTACTTTATCCATTTCTTCATCATATCTAAAAGAAAGAGGCATTTGTCAATATGAAACCATTGTTTGACAAAGTGAAAACTCAAGAGCAAATCAAGGAAAAATACAAAATTCAACCCACATTTTTTAGTTATAATGATAGGAATGGTGTCGAAGTCCATACAAATGGCTCGCCACTCATCTCCAGTCTTATCATCCTCAAATAAATTCTATGGTTAGTTACATAACAGGGCCTTGATATACTGTACAGTATTGCAAAATCTATAACAAAACTCTCCCTCCTGAAGCTATATGCATTTCATTCTCTACAGTAAGCATGGGCAGCCTGTGCCGGACCATATGTTTGTATGGCCCGTAGAGTGATCGAGAAATTCTATTTAACGTGGCCAGCAGTTCAGGTAAATGCAACCAATTTATGGTAAAGAAATATTTATTAATAGAATAATCTTCACACACAATTCATTACTGTCTTTTTACCTAAGAGTAAGTAAATACGAAAATGAAACAGTGAAATAAGTATAAATAGTCAACAATATAAACATTTTAACCTGTGTGAGTTTACGGGCCAAGTTCGGCGCAGTCTATTGATTGGAATAGCTGCTATGTGGCAGTGGGCCACTTAAGAATTAACTAAGGTTGGATAAGTCCAGGTGGGTGTCACAGGCAGTGGTCACATAGGGTTTAACTAGTTAAGAATTTCCAGAATAACACAAAAACACCTAAATTGCACCTCAGAAACCCAGTTGCCAAGTAATAAGCATTGAAATAATGTAATTAAAATCTTCCAAGCGTCATTACAACCACCTATTACCCCGCAATCCAATCGTGGACCATAGATTAGGAATCAGCATGCTCAGGAGTACCTATACTGAGATTTTCAACAAAATCAAATTTTTGGCCTAAATCGCCAAAATATTAAGCCATATGTCTTCGTAATTTTTCGACCGAAATATACTTTTCTCTTGGAATTGAAATTTAAAGGGTTTAAATAATTAAGTACTTCCAGAATAATACAAAAACACAACTTGGAAACCCATAGTTTCCAAGTAATTAGCATTGAAATAATGTAATTAAAATCTTTCAAGGGTCATTACAACCACTAAACTTTGTTGGGTAGTCCCGCAAAAAAATACCTAAATTGTAAAGCGGCCCATGACTAAGAAAAGGTTGCTGATGCCTGCTCTACAGAAGCCTTAAGAACATGCCATACTCTCCATACAGCTACAACTTTCTATCTCTCTTCACAGTATGGTGCTTTTTGAGAGTCCACGTATGCATCAAATTCAACAGGACTTTGGTATAAAATATAATGGTAGAAATTTGTATTAGGATAAACTGGTATTCATATCGCTGTAAAGTAAAACCAGTTAAAAAAAAACACATACCTGGTGAGTGACTCGTTCTTGGTCAAAGATGACAGGAGACTTCTGGTCGTTGGGCTTTATACAGCGAATGTAGTATGGCTCCTTGCAAGCCAGGTTCTTCACTAGAGCCACCATTGAGTTTTTGAACAGTGTTCCAGCTGTAAGGGGGCGTTTTGTTGTCTGCAAGATAATTTATGTTTTAGAAAATATAAACACCAACATACACAGCCTTTAATAATCAAGCTGTAAGCTGCCATTACTTGAACTCAACTGATAGGTACCACTCACTAGAACAAAATTCCTATGTACTGTACAGCATACTATTTGGAATGTATTTAAAGATCTGAGAGAGAGAGAGAGAGAGAGAGAGAGAGCAGTGTTCTCCTGTACAACTATCTCTGTCATTAATAAATGGAGAAACATAATTCTAACCAAGTTTAATAGTAGACCTACTAAACATTTCATAATTACAGTACAGTATTACAATCTGCAATACTGCTAAACCTCCTCCTAGTGATTATACTGTTTGTAACTACCCGGTATCATATCCTGTGAGAAAAGGCTACCCATAATAGATATAATGTATTTTTATCAAGAGACAAATGGGAGGAGATTTTTAACTCTGTCTCTATATGTATACCGTAGATATATTTTTTCTTTATATTTATCACATTAAATATCAGAAAAATCAGGAGTAAGTATACCAAAGCATCAAAGACCATGGTACTCCTCTACCCTTATGTATTAGCTAGAGATGCTCACACCTACCACAGTGATGTCCTGGGCTCCTTCAGGCCACATGCTAGAGATAACATGATCAGAGGAACTGTACATTAATCTCTTAAAGTCTTGGAAGAGTGTGTCCTTGTTCTTCTCCAGGAATCCATTGATGCAGTACACCACATCTCCAGCATAGTGTCTGTAGTGGGTGAACAGTTTCAGAATGTATTAAGAAATCCACAGCCACTAACCCTTTTAAATGTTAAGTGTATTTAGAAGATAAACAAACAGAAAATTGAGGCTAAAATTACTCCCCCCCCCCTCCCCTCCTTACAACCATTAGGTAACATATATTACAGGTCTTTGTCTTTTCACTTAAACGAGACAGAAGCTACTAAACCTCTGCAAGGACAGGTGCTACATGTCTATGTATGAACAACAAGTCAGTCAAGTCTGTAACCATGTGATAGAGATAATACTGTAAATACTGTACTGCACATGTAAGTGTACAAGGTTTATAGGTTTTATAAGTGGTCCCCAACCTTTTGTAGGCTATAGGCCACATTTATCATTGTAGATATAGTGAAGGGTGCCGGTGTAGGTCGGTGACCTGTGCCCAGGTGCGCTATTCCCCGTAAAAAGAAAAAACAAAAAACAAACTCATATATACTGTACAGTTACTTGCAGTTTTACACGTCTAACTGTTACCAGTTACATACTTTTTACATTTACTCTTGGATTAAGCATTCTTGAAACGAGCTAAACCCTCGACAGTAAGAATACAAACCTTATTTTTCAACACACACAAGACCAGAGTTTAACCAAATAGCACCTACCGGTAATAGGAATAACTTTCTTTCATATTAAAGAATAGTAGAGAACATGTAAAGAGCCTACATTTATTTCCAAACACAATGATGGAGATTCTTTCTCTGACAAGGATTTGATGAGAATTAGGATATAAAAGTTGTTTGACTAATTTTTTCAATAAACTCTTGGTCAGCCCTTCACTGTAAGATAAACTGAGAAATTTAATATTAAGATTATATACAGTATTGGGTATGTTTCAAAAAATAAAAACATTTAGGAAAATTTGGGAGGTCTTTTTTTTTCAATATTCACTCAATGTAGGTCTTTGATTTTGAATATTTAGTAATCAATTATAATTTTTTACAAATGTGAAATACAGCAGTCCTCCACAAGATCCATGAATGAAAGCTTTGTATGAACATGAAGAACAAATAATGATTGATACTTAAAGATGAAGAATAATGACTAAATAATTGCTGGAAAAACAAAACAAAAAACAAAATATCACCAATTTACTACGGTCATATTTAACCAATTCAAACCTACTGGTAACTACTGTACTGCCAACAGGTTGATGCTTTATTCTCTCTTAAGTGATCAAAGAAATCATTGAATCAATATCAACTTGGTAGTTCTCATCATTCATATTGATTGAATAGTACTCTTTCCCTTACTCTAATGCCCAAAACAACGACGCCAAGCTGAAGTGTCACTCACTTGATGCGGAATTCTTCTACATGCTTGAGCTCTTTGTCCATAGGTGAGAGTTTGCGAGTGGTGAAGTGTTTGTGGACCTTCAGTTTGTTCTCCATAGCCTCAAGAAGCATCTGAAAATGCAAGACAAATTTGATGAATCACTTGATCAACTCATCATTTATTTTCTGTTATCATTTATATAAATACTTATTCAAGTTAAATTTTTCTGATAGTAAAAAGAGCTAGTTTATCCATGACCAGTAAATTCTGTGTTCTATGCTAGTCATATAATATACAATACCCAGTATACAGTATATTACCATAATAAATTATATTCATACCTTCAAGACCAATGATATGTATCAAATAATTTGAAATGTCAGAAATTATATATATTTTTTTAAACTTCAAATTATAAACTATAACGAAAATGTAAAATGTATCAATAATGCTTAAGCTACCACTCTAAACAAAATTCTTGAAAACCTAAGTCCGCTTCTGAAACAGGGCGACCTCCTCCTCCAGAAAAATCAAGTTATAATACTCCAACAGTTAAAAGTTCAACTCATTTAGTGATGTAAGTATCAGTATGATGAATAACATACATACCGGTACATATAATACACACACTACATCCTTGACCACCGGGCGCCCATGTCTTTGTATGTACTGTAATAAGTCATTTTTGTCGAATGTATATTTTCAGCCTTTGGACTGCAGAACTTTTTTAATAAACCGTTAATTATTATTATTATTACATACATACATATAATCAAGAATATATTTGACAATTATATAAGGCACTTTCAAGGTGTACAGGCATTACTCGTCAGCTTTACATATGTTTACTGAGGTTTTAATGCTGCACCAACAAATAAGGTCTTTAAGGCATGCAACTACTTAAAACTATGTTTTCAACCTAACTGGGATAATTGAAAAAAAATATAAATACTTTTTACTTTAGTAATATTGCTTACTATAATATGAAGTGTTTAAAACAAAATTATTGTTTGGTAAGGCCAAATGCTCCACACAGGTAAAACTGATACATATGACCTTAAGTAAACCCTGCAGTTATGAAATAAATATTTTACCGGGGTAGTTACTGAACTACAAACACTACTATGTATGATCAAACCCAAGGCTACACACACAAAACAATACAACTATTAACAAACTCTACACACTATAAAAAAAATTCTTGTTCTTAAAAGCCTTATTGTGTTTGTGGTGCATGTTGGCTGGACAGGTGATGATCCTCTGATTGTTAAGCATAATGCAGTTAGTGGATTACTTCACCCCATATAAGGATGCTACTCCACCAAAGAGTTGTCTCACCATTGGCAGGAGCACATAATACTGTATACTTGTTTTACAGCAGAGTGTATGCAAGGGTTACTGTAAATGGATGGAACTCAAGTCCTCCACTCCAGCCAAGAATTAAACCCAGGACATCTCACTTGTGATGCAAAGGATCAACCACTAAGATAGAGTCACACATAACAAAAAATAGATGTAATAAATCCATCACCCACCTTCAACTGGACTCGGTGCCAGTAATTTGGCTAAAATGGGTCTTTCTCATAAAAATTTATAATTTCCTTCTAAAGAAATAGGTGAAATTTACTGCCTAACACCTATGTGCTATAAACACAAATGTTAAAACAATTTTCAATGTAAAGTATAAATAAATGATACTGAACAAAACTCTTTACCTGATCTGTCACTTTTCCGACATTGAGACAAGCCTCGTCAATGATTGCAATGATTCCTTTGTGTGACTGCTCAACCAAATCACATATAATTTGGTTATTAAAGTATTCAATATTCTGCCAAGCAATACCTTCTCTCTTGTACTCTTCCTGCTCTTGTTTTAACACCAGTTCTGGGGACGATATAAAATTCATTAAAAATTTTAGTTTATATTTCATTGTTGAACAGCAAACATTTAATGTATGGGTGAGAAGGACAAGTAGGGGTGCATGAAACAACAAGCATAAATATTTGTGCAGCTGTTAGGGGAAATCACAGTTAAATATTACAGTATCTCCATTACAGCAAGAAATTCAGTGACAAATTCCTACATGGTAGTCTCCTTCACTCAACTGTTGTTATACAGTTAACTAGAATGGGAAAGGAACAACTAAGTGGTTCCTATATAACATCTCATTCTTTTGTTCCATAATATCTTTCTAAATTACCTGGAAAAAACAATTAATGATACTTAACAAAATACAGTGTCATAATCTATATCACACATACAAGAAATAAATTTGATTTAAAAGTCGAGAAAACGAGAATCATAAATGGGTAAGACACACTCAGGGTTCAGTTAGTTGTCTAAATTACAATATATAAGAAGTTAAAGATCCATCTCAACGGTTCAGAACTTCACAAACTCACCAATGAATAGCTGTTGTAGTTTCTCATTACAATAGTTGATGCAGAATTGCTCAAAACTATTGCGTTCAAAGATCTCGAACCCATAGATGTCCAACACGCCAATGACAGTGTTATACTTGTAGCGGGCAGCTGTGCCTTCATAGCGGACCTCAATAGCTTTATTCACTCCTTCCACGATGTATGAAAAGAGTCGCTCATAGATGGCCTGCAATATATTATGTATTCTTAGAAGAGTAAGAACTACACTGAGCAAAGCAACAGTTAATGATAAAATAGTACATAAATAATCAGCAGTCAGCTCAATGTGAGGGTATAGTTTTGGGTACGAGTCAGATTAAAAATGGGTTACCTCAAAAGGGGAGACTGAAAAAATTTGTGATGGGTAAAATGAAAGAAATGACAAGACAGTGGACAGTGAATCCATGGTGCTGTGGAAAGTACACTAAAACAAGTGATTGCTTACCTATATGACATGCAAACTTCACCTTTCTCAAGGATACATTACAGTTTATCACACATCATCATAGCACAGTACACAAAGAGCTTTTAAGAATATGTATTTGTAAACAGGATCAGGAAGAAATCTTGATACACATGTGAAAGAGTTTTAAGTGACAAGACTGGATTCTTTATGCATCATTTAATATATTACTCGAGTATAATTTAGCAAAAAAAAAATTAATAAGTGTGTACCAACAGTATGTGAGGCAATGAATGAAATTACAACACAAAGAAGTGGGTCGAACATATGGATGATCACTACAGTAATGGCCAACCAGTTGTTATGGAAAGTGGCATATGGGTTACAAACAACAATATATTTGTTGTTTAGTAGAATTCGTATTTCAATTCTGATGTGTCGTGTAGTGTGCGCATCTCAAAACTGCTGGCAAGTGTGTTTCAGCCCTCTGGCGCCCATCAGTCTGGGCTTTGGCGGTTTCTGTTTATAAAAACCTGGCAACTGATACTGATTTACCTTCCTGTTATATATATATTTGTATGTATGTTTGTATAACAATATCAAGATAACATTCTCATAGAAAATTAGGAATATACTGTACTTGGGTGAGGGACTGGGCACGATGGGAGGGTTGTCTAAGGCAGGGGTCACCAAACTTTTTTCACAGTGGGCCGGATAACTGAAAGAGTGACGAGCGCGGGCCGCATAATCATTCTGTTCAATACTTGCAAGCCAGAACGAAAGCCATGGAAACCATGGTAACGTCAGAGCGTAGGCGGAGCTATCACGGCGGGCCTGATGAACTGACGTCGCGGGCCGTAGTTTGGTGACCCCTGGTCTAAGGAATGAGGCCCCCCAAAACCATTATCTTGTACAAGGCCTCTCAGAAGCTAGAGCTGACCCTGCTTGGAGGTTTCCTTTCCCGATGCTTACATAAAAAAAACATGTGTGATCCATCCAACAGAAACAAGTCACTAAAACTACAAAAGTAATAGGAAATGAAAAAGTACAATACTGTGTACATAGTTATTAAACTACACCACAATGAATGATAGTTTTAATTACTTACATTAAGTGAATGATACCTTTACCAATACCTCAACTACAAATCACCATCATATCTCACCTTTGCAAATGCATTACGACCATAACTGGCCTCACTTTCTGTGTGTCGTTTCTCCATGACCTCCCCACGTGCTGCAATGACTCGATGACACAGTGCCTTGTTCACATCAGCTGGGGAGACATTCAGGAGTTCTGCGATGTTTTTCACAACTTTGGGATTTTGAATTTGGGTCTCATCTCCACCAGAGGAAAATTCAACATTGCCCTGAAGGAATAAAGGCAAAAAGCATAAATTTAAATGAATATCTGTCATTGTTTTAAGACAATTTTCCACACTTCATGGGCAATTATTAATATACACGGACTGTACAGTAGCTAAAACAACTATCTGTGCAGGCGGGGCTCGATATGTTTCAAAATTTTACGTGTTTCCCACAACGTATGCACAGACAGTTGTTTTAGCTACTGTACCCACTGTACCAAATTTAACAAAAAGAAAATTTACAAAATTGAATTTCCTACATCAACAGGCAGGCAATTCTTTAAAAGGATCCTCTATGTAGTCTAAAACTCTTTACAGTACAGTACAGTCAGTTCTGCTATAACGCGATAGTTGTGTTCTTGTAAAACATCGTATTATAGAAATTCGCGTAATAGAAATAACAGGGCTTATGGAGAAAATAGGGTTAGGTGCAGATTACTACTCGAAATTGAAAAAAATTTAGTAGTTAGCCTAACACAAAGGATAGCACAGACTAAATAAATGTGACATTCATATCTAATAATGAAATCATACAGTAAATGTAACACTTTACCTTGAAAAAATATGAATATAACTTGATGGGGGAGAAGGGTGATTTTGAGGTAGATAACACCGAGCTTCTCTTCAAGGGTTATAACCTTTCTTTTACGATCATCACCGGGAATGCGATCACCAGAACGCTTTTTGGGGATATTCTTCTTTACCATATTCACAGTTAATACCACAAAATTGGAGAAATAGTAAGCAAAAATCGCGTTACAGCAAACAAGCGTTCGCGTTATACAAATATCGTTCCTCTATTCATAAATCGCGTTAAGAGCCAATTCGCGTTGTCAAAACACACGTTATAGCAGAACTCACTGTACTGTACACACCATCACACTGAGAACCTTCTCAGTTACATACAGTATATTTTATTGAATCATAGCAGTTTTTTACTGAATAAGCACTTGAAATTTTCTTTTTTAGAATTCTAAAGATACTCACCAAGTGTAGGATAGCCCCAACAACTCTCCATATGGCATCAGTCTGTTCAGGTGTGAACCCTAATGTCTTGAAAGCTTGTTGGCATGTCTTGTAGTCAGCTTTGTCAGCAATAGAGTCTACCCTTGGTGTGCCGCCCTGACAGATGAAGTGGTAGCTGTTGACATCACGCTTCAGTTTCAGACGAGACAGCTCTGAATCTGTGGCTCCAAACAGGACCTGAAGAAATTGAGAAAAATCAAGATCAACTCCAGTTATAAATGGTCTCTCCATATAACTGACTGAAAATGTATTGGAATGCTGTGTATATGCTTATAACCACTAGACTCTTGGTATGGAGTTGGTACCGGGAAAAAAGTTACCTACAAAAGAATTAAAAATAACTTTACAATAAAATGTATGGCTAATCCTAGGATACATATCTATATTATACACAGTATCATTAATAAACTGGTATACCTGTATAGAAAAAATATTTCAACTTGTTCTGCATGATACAGTACTGTACTTCACAAAAATACCAGGTACAGTACTACTATACCTAAAGAAGTTAGGAAATACCAGAAGAATGGCTAAACAGAGCAAGACAAAGACAATTAGACATGTAGCGTGGTACTATAGAGGAACAGGAAAAACTTTCCAAACAAGACTGACAGGTTAACACGTATGCAACCAACAATATACTGTACTCTGGTACAGTATTGAGATTACAGCAGATTGACATTCTGGCAAGAATCCAAATACAGAGATGTTACAAAACCAAGTGAAGTAGGTATGGAAGAAGGCAGACAGGTAGTTGCAGAGAAGGGAAACATAAAAGACTGAGGTAGGCAGAGATGGGGACTGACAGAGATTCACAGGTACATGTGCAAAAGTGAAATTATAAGCAAGTGAAGCTGGTAGAAAGAAAGGCAGGGATATATGCAGAAGAGACAAGTAAGAATGTAACCATCTTAAAAACATGTACGTACTGTATAATTAACAGTACAAAAATATAGTATGTTCCCACCTGATAGAAAGAGTGGAAATTCCTCTCCCCCTGCTGCTGCAACACAACCCTTGACTTCTCCAGGAGGTAGTTCTCAACATGACCACCAACTGGGTCACCCTTGAAGTCAAAGTTGATGTCCATGTACTTGCCAAACCGAGAAGAGTTGTCATTCCTGTTGGTCTTGGCATTACCGAAGGCTTCAAGGATGGCATTGGACTGTAGGAGCACGTTCTTCACTCTATATAAAGTGAAATACTTGTAAGAATAAAGATAGTGAGAACAAATACATGAACTAATAAGAATACTCAGGTGTTTTTACACAATACAGGTACAGTACTGTCATATTATAAATACAATAAAGATAAAAGTGGTATTTTTTTGTGTCTTGAGTCAATGTTGTATTTGTGCATCTAAAAACTATGAGTGCAAATTTTTATATACTGTACAGTACTGTATGTGAGTGTACTGTTATGTATCTAGTATGAAAGTGAAAGTTAATGCAAAGATAATTGTAATGTGTGTATAATATGCCAGAGCATTTTCTTTTGTATTTTTATAATTTTCAATATAGAATGCAAC